AACAGGCCACGCTCAGCCTTTTAGCGCAGAGCAACTTCCCGGAGTCTTCACGGAGACTTCAGGGTTGTCTACCGCTGACGAAGCTTCTGTGAGAGAAGCGAAACGTCCTTTTTTGTTTTTTTGTTTTGTTTTTTACCCACAAGTACAGATGACGACTGACAGAACCCTTTCTACGATGGAACTTTCCTGTACGACTGAGAGCCTCCACAAGCTTATTGCAGAATTGAATTTATTCTTCTGTTAATTGATTTTTTTTTTTCAGAACACTACATTTAACACTCACGATCACACCGAGGGACAATTTAGAGCATTCAATCACCCTCCAATGCATTTTTTTGGAATGTGGGAATTAAACTGGAGTACCCGGAGAAACCCCACGCAGGCACTGGGAGAACATGCAAACACCACACAGTAAGGGCGCAGCCAGGAATGGAACCGCTGACCTCTGCACCGTGAGGCCGATGTGCTAACCAGTCAACAACCGTGAGAAAATATGATGGAAGTTATTTCAGGAATTTAAATAGATTAATGAAGTAATTAATTACATAAATTGCAGAAATAGGAGCAATGATGTGATGTACAGCACATCCACACATTCATACACTCAGACACACACACAAATAAATACTACTACTACTACAACTACTACGACTAATCAATAGCGCAGAAATATTTTGCACGATGAGATAGATGTGCTAACCAGCTCATCGCCCACTGCGTCTCCTCTATTGAAACATTAAAGATTTTTTTAATTACAATATTGCAACTTTATTTTCCTATGATTATGACTTTTAAAAAATGATTATAACATTACAAATTTTTATTGCAGCTTTCTTCATTTAAAAAAATATATATTTTCAAACCCCAAGTTTTTATTGCAGTATTCTGACTTTATTGTCCTTCGATTACTTTTGTTTTTTTTTTTTAATCCACCTTTCTAATCATAGCAATCGTTGTTTATTGCCATAAAAATATAGTCGGTTACCATTCTCCAGTAAGAAGCGATGGAATTCCATGCTGCGCACCAGGATGCCCAGGCTTTCCGGCTCGAAGCTCGTGAGACCCGGATCGCTCATTTCCCTGCGACAGAATTCCAGACAGACCATGAACGAGCCCGATGAATTGGAGCAAGTCGAGTGACTGAATTGAACTGACTTGTAAGAGTCGTAGTCTGCCATGACGATGGCCGTCAGCAGCTTCTTCGTGACTTCAATGATCTCCTGCTGGTGAGCTAACAGACCCATTTGGAAAGACACGTCACGCGCGTCATCGAAACAGTGAAACGTTGCAGCGTTCTTCTGGCTAGTGACAAATCGGAGAATACTGACGCCTCGTTTCAGCATTTGTTCCACATAATATGGTTTTAAATTTGCAACATTTGAAAAGCGTTTTATGGATAGCAGTGCTGCTTGCTAATCCCGCGAGTCACCGATTTACCTCGGACGGCATCGGGTTCGCTGCTGTTCTGGGCCCACTGAACAGTCACTTCGGTGCTCAGAATTCCCTCCAGGGAGAGCAGAAGCAGCAAAAAATGGAAAAGCATTCTCCCTCGATCAAACGTTGTCTCACAATTTCAAGAGCAATTTGTCGTCGAGAAAGCCAAAAGCCCTGTTGTCTTTGCTTGGATGCTTGCAGAGAGTCTGTTGGTTTTGAAGTGCCCCTTTGGAGTCCTGATGGACTTACTCTGTTGGTTTTGAAGTGCCCTTTTGGAGCCCTGATGGACTTTCATTTGTAAATACAGAATTGTGTGTGGATCTAAAACGAGGCCTGTTGCTCTCCATTTAACTGCAACTTGCTTTTTCCTTGCTAAATTTTTACTTTATTGTCGTTCTTACTTTATTCTCGTTCGTAGTACAGAGCCCCTGAGATGATATGGAATAAATACAAAAAAAAATTATTTGCGTTCCCTCGCAAATATTGCAAGAGAATGCAATTTTTTTTAATTATTGTTTTTTCTATGTTGCAATTCCTTTTAATGCAATTTTCCTCCGAGTACTCCGACTTTATTTTCAAAACCTTTGCATGACGTACCCCCATTTTCCATAATATTATTTTATAATGTAGCATTTCAACTTTTTATTTTGTAGTATTTCCACACTGTTATTTTGCCTTCTCATTCACACTTTTTTTTTTCTTCTCGTAATATTCCAAGTCGACAGTGAGTTACGGGGAAAATGCTTCACAATATGAGTGCAGAGGTCAGGCAGGATATGGGAGGGCCGGGCCGGATTCCACACGCTGTAAGCCGAGCACTCTCAGATGTTGCGTCCACTGAGAAGGACAAGAAGAAGAAAAAGAAGAAGAAGAAGCCCGCTTTCCCATCCATCCCCTTTTTCCTCTTTGCATTGAAAAGCGAAACACAGCCAGCCGGCGAAAGCGCGCCAGCTGGCCGCATTTCACCGTGCCCCACCTGTCAAATTCCAGATGGTCTGAGAAAAAGGAAATCAATGGGAAAGTAAGGCGGAATGAGAAGCATTCGCGGCCTGAGCAATAGCGCGAGGAATGCAGGAGTTCAGAACCGGAGAACTGAGTTTATTTTGTTGGCTGTTTTGCATTTGAGACATCCCGAGACCAGTCGGCAAGTACAAACATAGTTGAAGAAAAGAAAAAAAAAAAAAAAACTAAAACTAAAACTAAAACTATTGCATTTGAAAGCCTACAATGTGGTGGATGTGTTTGGATATGACAGTAGTATTTTTACTCCCCTGTAAGCGTCACAGTTTTACAAAAGTATTTATGTAACATTATTATGTTTTTCATATGACTATCCTATCTTCGTAACAAACGTTTTCCTTTTTTGGAGGGGGGGGTGTGATTTCAAGACATTCCTGTCATCTTTTATCGTATTCTGATGTTACCAGTTTTTTTTTTTGTAATATAACGTAGCCTTTTTCGTCACAACTTTACATATAACACAGCTTTATTCTTGCAAACTTGTTACTTTTTTCCCAAATAGTAACTAATGTGATTTTTGGAACGCGAGGTGTTTTTTTTTGGGGCGGGGGGGATATTCCAACTCTGCCCTTTTTTCTTGGATTGTCATGCCATTTTTTTTTTTTTTTTGGTAATATTCCGACTATATTTCTGTAACTTTTTTGATGGCGTTCTCTGACATTATCGAACTTTCTTGATACATGATAACATGACGTGTTTTTTGTCAATATATTCTGTCTTGATCCTACTGGCATGAAGCCATTTTTTTTTTTTTTTGCTTGTGAATTTACGACTTTGCTCATGCAACATTCGGACTTATTTCATAAGTAACTTTTTTGGAGAAAAGTGACTTTTTCACAGTATATTCCGACTTGGTCTCTTTGCAATATTCTGACTTCAACCTCATGCCATTACTTTTTTCTCCCTTTTTTTTTTTGTCATCGTAACATGAAACTATTATTCTTAATCTCACAACATTATTCTTGGTGCATTCTAAGATGAACTGGTCTGACGGGGCCCACAAGTTTCTCATGTTCCCCCCTCGTGGTTGTAATTCCGCAACGGGAAGTCCCGAGTGATCCCTGAGAAACATTCCGTCTTCCACGAAGACGCCCGGCCTGCTACTTTTGAATTTTTCTGTTCCAGCCCCCTCTGCTACTCAGATGGTTAGTCAACAGGTGGTCGTATCTGTCCCCGATCTCGTCCTTGTACCAGGGCCCCCACACGCCATCGTTGTACTGCGGGTTGGAGCGCAGGTCTTTGGCCGGGTAGTGCACTCGCACCGCCGTCTTGTTGTACTGCACGAGCCGCATGAGCATCTTCTTGACCACGTGTGGGTAGCGCTGCGACAAATCCACCCGCTCGTAGGGGTCTGAGGTAATATTGAACAGCCACAGGGACTTGCCGCGGTCCCAGCGGACACGTTCGCTGTGCCAGCGCAGAGTCAGCCGCTGGGCGGAGAAACAGAGGTGGGAGTAAGTTGCGGGGTGTAATCTTTCAAGCTTTCAAGCAAGTTACATGTTACTGTGCCCCTCCCCCCCAAAAAAAAAATCGAGACATGTCTCTCCCAGTTAACAGCCAGCCAACTCTACACTCTCATTTGCTGGCACCCAAGTCACTCACCAGACTAGACCCCGCCCTTTGAAGCAACGTCACGTATATGACAGTTTTGAATGTGAGGGTGGCGACACGAAGTGGAAAAAAAATAATAATACATGATTCCCCCATATATATATATATATATATATATATATGCTTTAAAAATTCTTTTAAAAGTCTTATGTTTTTGAAACTACCGAAAACTAACGAGAAACATTGCAGAAATGTCCTTTTTTTTTTGTCTTTGTCAGTGAATATCATTCATGAGCATTTTGGGGTTCATTTTAAACGGATCTTCAGCCATACAGAAGAAGGAAGGTCAAACAGTTGTTTGAGAATTGTAAATTACTCTGGTTCACACAATTAAAATAATCATAATAATAATAATAAAACTAATAAAAACGAAACCACAACAAAGCACTGTCGAAAAAAGACAAACTCATAAAAACGTCAAATAAAACCAATGAAAACAAAATGAATTTCAAAAACAAAAAAGCAACTATCATGAAAAATAGCTGCTCCACTATGATCACCCTGGTCCAACTCGAGTCAATTCATGCGACGAAAGTAACCCCACCTGCGTGTTGAAGGTCTGAGGGGGCACCCAGTCGCTGTAACCGGGCACCCCCGTCAGCAGCTTCCAGTGGCCCACGCGCAGCGCCGCCTGCACGGCCGTGTTCCACAAGCCGTAGCCGGCTTTCCACGAACCGTTTTTGGCCTTCACGTAAATGGGGTCGATGTTGTGGAGGATGTCCTGGCGGGGCGAGGGGAGCCCTTCGCTGATGGCTTCCCAGACGTCGTAGCCGTCCAGGTTGAGGTCCTCGTCCAGAGTCCCTTCGCCCAACGTGACCAGCGTGGGGAACCAGTCACTGATATGCACCAGCGAGCGACACTCGGTGCCTTTCTTGGCCAACAGGGGGCTGTGGACGAAACCCACCGCTCGGATGCCCCCCTCCCACAGCGTGGCCTTGCTCCCCCGGAGGGGCCAGTTGCTCCCGCCGACCAGCGGTTGCCCCCCGTTGTCCGAGGAGTACACGATGACCGTGTTGTCGTAGTAATGGTAGCGTTTCAACGCCAGGGTCAGGTTGCGTACGGCTTCGTCCAGGCAGGAGACCATGGCTGCGTATTTGCGACGGTGAGGGTTCACGATCCCCTTGTAGCGCTCCAGGTAGCGAGACGGAACCTGAAGCGGGGAATGCACCGCCTGATAGGCTAAGTAGAGGAATAAGGGCTTGCTGGGGTTGTGATTGGCTAAGATCCCGACGGCCTTCTGCGTGTACATCAGCGTGGAGTACAAGCCGCGGTCCTGCTCCCACGCGGCTTCTTCGCCCTCGTGCAAGTCGTAGCCGCACATGCCGGGCCCCTCGCACTTGTAGTGGCTGTAGTAGTCGCCGCTTCCCAGGAGCGAGCCGAAGAAGCTGTCGAAGCCGCGCCGGGTGGGCAGGCAGCCGCGTTTGTAGAAACCCAGGTGCCACTTGCCCACCATGTGCGTGGAGTAGCCGGCCTGCTTCAACTTTTGCGGCAGAGTGACGTTGTCCAGGGGGAGGCAGCTGGGCTGGGTGGCTCGGATGATGGAGTGCTGGAGGCCCGTGTGGATCTGGTACCTGCAAAACAAAACCAGCGCAAGCTAGTCAAAACAAATTTGGTGCAGGTTTGTGCTCTGTGTTGCGAGCAAAAAACCATTTACATTGACTTAAGACAACTTCACAACATCCAACCTCCATCAGTTCACGTGGTTCCCTCGCAGAGAAAGTACACATACAGCCTTTGTTGTTTTGTGCTTGCATTTTCAGCTTTTTTGTGCAGTTATTTTATTTGATTTTTATTTTTATATAACTATAGGTCTCGAAACTGCGGATACAGAGAAGAAGCAGGTTAACATAACCTTCGTAGCGGTGATGTGGCAGCAGTAAATATTGGTGTACAGATGACGACTGACAGAACCCTTTCTACTCTTACCACAGTGATAATAGTTTGTGATTTTTCATTGTAGTTACTTTAGATTTCGTTTTGACTTTTTAAATTCAGTTAGTTTTAATTAGTCTATAAAGCAGGTATTGGTTCTTGTGTTTTCGAAAACGTGTTTTAGCTTAGGTTTTGTTTGTTTTAGCGTTAATTGCAGTTTTTCTTGAAGGGACAGCATGTAATAATTTGTTGAGATTTCATTGTCCCTTACTTCAAAAACCCACTATCAATTTCAATAATATGAAAAAAAAAAAAAACATGTTCAATCACATCAACGGAATAAAAAAAATGTAAATTGTATGTGACGTAATCGCTAATTGTATTCCATAGGGCGCCCTCTACAGACCCTGCCATATTGCGCCAACATCTTCCTGCTACGGATACCTACTGGAGACAAATTTAGCGACCGTCGTTCTACAAAAGAATGTTTAGAGCAAGCGTAAAACATCTTTGCAAGGTTTCTGATATTTAAGAACAAAGTAGAGGGCGTTTGGGGAACGCATTGTGGATATGCTCTGCGAAAATCTACTGGTAGGCTTGCAGAGTATGGTCTCTCTGAGGCACCGTAGTGCGCGTGCTTCAAAAACACGCGCTTCAAAATTAGGTCGTTGCATTCCATTAGTTCACCACAAGATGGCACTAAATCATACGCACTGTACCTTTAATGAATACGATACAGTACAATACAATACAATATATGCTGATTGAGTATGCTTTGAGTGCAAGATATATATTGTTAAAGCACTAAATCATACGCACTGTACCTTTAATGAATACAATACAGTACAATACAATACAATACATGCTGATTGAGTATGCTTTGAGTGCAAGATGTATATTTTTTAAAAAGTATTGTAAATATTGTGTATCAAAGGAAACCAAGACTCTCAAAAATTGTTCAACCTTCCATTTTCTGGACGAATGGACAGCAATCGTGAAATAAATGCAATACATTTAGAACGAAATCCTGAAACCTGTTACATATTGACAAACAAAAACGAAGATCAATTTTTGCTAGAATTATTGTAGTTATTAGCACTTAAGTTACGTAAGTTGTAGATTCAATTGCATTTAAAATAACGAAAACAATTTTTTCTTTTCGTTTCATTAATGAAAAGGGTTTTTAGTTTTTTTTTCATTCATAAAACCTTGTCTTTTGCATTGTTGAAACTGGCTCAACTATAAATTAAATTACATTCTGTAACTGTTATGGGATGTCGTACATCGTTTTCTTCCCAAATATGACATATGAGTAAAATTAACCAAACATAAATGTTGCAACTGTGCAGTGCTGTACAATTGTTTTCTTCCAATATAGCGTGACAGGGAAAAATGCGATTATCTGGTCTGGTTGACAGGAAGGCTGCAGCAGTGTTTAAATGCGAACGATTCCACGTGTTCGCGGCGTACCTGCCGGTCATGAGCTGGCTCCTGGACGGGCTGCAGAGCGGTTGCACGAAGTGGAAGCCCAAGGTGGGCGACACGATGAAGCCGAAGAGCAAACCGAGCGGAAGCCACCAAATCAACATTTTGCTGCCGCCCCGCTTGCAATCAGTCCTCTAACGACGCCTCGCCATCGTGTTCACTCATCCGCTCTTCCGTTCGCTGCCTCATTGCACGCTTCGGCGTGAACGCGTCCTACGGCCAAAGGCAAATGACTTGCACGCGCATAATTCTGTAGCAGGTCCACGCCAGATGGCTTCCACCGTGGGAGGAAAAAAAAAAAACAAAAACTGTCCATGTTCACGCTCGCCGAGCAAACCACTACGAGGCGCCCCCCGGGTACGTGGGCGGGTCCTTCGGCGAAAAGAAAAGAGAGAGCGAGCGAGAGAGCCACGCAGCTTGATGGTAAAAGTGACAGCATATCAGACGCGCTCGCCAGCCGGTCCGTAAGACATGGAACAAAGTTACGCATCCGTCACTACAGTGGACTGGACAGCACAACGAGCGTCCAAGTTGTTCTTCAGTATCACTACAGCTGACAGCTGTTCAAAAGTCGTTTTCCTCTGTAGGTACTTTCCATACTGTCATCGGTCGTATCCCGCTGTCATGTGAAAGTACCTGGAGCATCGCCTTTTCCTTACATCATGGGCAAGCCCTGTCCTGTCGCTTTCATGAACCCAAACACATTCCACATGTAGCAGCACCTTGCAAAAAAAAATTTTCTCCCCTTGCGATCCCAGAATGCCGCGCGCCTTAAGTGCTCATTTCACAAACGTCCCGGTTTATCATGAAGAGAAACACGCCAGCTGTTTTCCCACCCCCACCGCATGGGTCCAAATTCAACAAAGACCGTCTTGTGTTGGCCCTAAACAACACCCGCAGTATGACACCATCAACACAACTACTACTGTACTTTTCTTTGACCCTACGTCTTATTTAGGGGTATACTGATATAATGAAGATTTTTGGAAATGTACTGTCATCTTATCATAACAAGCGCAACTTGGGTGGACTTTGCAGAGGTATAATTTTAACCACCGCAACTTTTGGAAGATTTTTTTTGGAGGGTTCCTAATTACGGAAGCGTATTGCTGCCACACAAGGTAAAAAAAAAACAAAAACCTACAAACTTATCATGTAAAAACGTGATACTTAACACATAAAAACGGGGACATTATCACTTTGAAACGTGAAAATTTACATGTAAAAGTGTGATACTTTCATGTAAAAATTTGGAAATTAACATTGAAAAACGTGAAGATCATTGCGTAAAAACGTGACTAATCACGTAAAAGCCTGTCACGTTGAAACAAAATGGATAATGCGATTTTAGATTTTCGGGTTAGTGCCGTTGCATTCGGACATATCGTACGGAAGCACCCGCCTCTGCCTCCTGCTGCTGGATGGGACCAAGGTTGCAACAGAAGTTGGGGAGTCCTCCGCGAGGCCAAGCAGTACATTTTGTACTTTACACGATACGATTGACGTTTTAATGTTAATTTTCACGTTTTTACATGGTATCACATTTTTACATGGTAAGTATCACATTTTTACATAAAATAATAAGAATAAGAACACCTTTAGTCATCTCACAATGGAGAAATTCCCAATTTACAGCAGCGAAGTTATGAAAGGAAGAAAGTAGAAGAACAAAAGTATAGGAGCTGCTGTAAAGGCAGTCACTCTCGCGGCACCCTCTTGAAGTCATAATAACATAACAAAATAATACAGCACGTTACATGATAAGCTTTCACATTTTTGCATGATCAATTTTTTATTCCTGGTGTGGCAGGAATACGCTTCCATACCAAATAAACCGTGAAAGCCACAGGCTCTTTTCCCAAATAGGCACGTTTGGTGTGATCATGCTAACGAAATAGCTAGCTCGGTAACTAATACAACGACAGTCAACAAAATCTCTAATCTCATTGCAGCCCCTTTTACTTTTACACTGGCTGTGAAATCCATCTTTACACCACCTTTCCCCCATATCTCTGTTCTATATGGCACAGCTTGAAGGCATGACATCGACCTGGCAATCTACTGCAATTTTCTTTCCAAAGTTGGTTTCTGCCTGCGTGTCATGCCAGTTCTGCCGTTTACAAAGGGTGAGTCGTTTTCCATCGCTTTGGCTTTCCTTTATGTAATCATACAGCTTTTAACAGTTTGTCAATTAAAAAAAAAAAAAAAAACATCACCAGCATCCTTAAATGGCGCGACCTGTTCTGTCATCATGTGTGTTAGCATTGAGCTGCGGCCGCGGAGTACAGAAAGCCCACAGTTGACAAGCTTGTGGTATACCGACTTGCTGTATATATATCGACTGAGTTGATTCTAAACGTGTGACGGCGCACACTGACTTTCTTTCACCAAACATGAGCCTAGTCTAAAAAGGGCTTTTTCTCTGCCCGTTCGCCGCCACCTCCTCCTCCTCACTCCTGCCCCCTCATTGGCTGCACAGCGCTGCACATGACTGTGAACATAGCACCAGATGGAACACACTGACAGCTCTGCTACACAGTCGACCCCCAGGGCCGAAACGTTCACACTCTGCTGAAAAATGCACTCCACATTAAAGTTAAGTACAAACTGTACGCGAATAAATGTTTGGAAAAACAAGACTTATAATCTTCTTTTTGTAAGCTTATGTTCAAAACAAGACTGATAATTTTCTTTTGTAAGCTTATGTTAAATTATTAATTATTTTCATTTTATATTTGAGCATTATATTCCTTTATGTTATAGTTACCTAAATTATATTCTGTTTAATAATTGTTGAAACGTTCTTCTGTTGCTTGCGTCTGATTGGCTGAAGAGAAGCAGGAAGTGTTTTCGTTACCGGAAAAAGTTGTGTTATCGAACGTCCTGGGCTGCAGGCGTCTTTTTTTTCCCCCTTTTAATAAAACTGCATTTAAAGGATTCCATCTCTCCTTTTGCCGTTTGTAAAGTAGAGCTATTCGCTAAAAAAAAAAAAAAAACAACGAACCCCTCAACTTACATTTTTAATCGTTTTTGTATTCAGTCAGCCATTTGACTACTGCTAATAGACATCGCTGTAGACATTTCCCACTGTTGTAGTTTTGGAAAATCTGTATAGTCTGAGAAAAGTTAGCTAAGAAAGTGACGACAATCAGGGTAGTTACTTTGGACTAATGTAATCAAATAATAATATTGCAATTGAGTTTCATTTGCAAAATGGTAAGACAAAATATGCTCGAAAATGTTTTCAAATTGTTCCGTCTCCATCCCATGAGATGAAATGTGATCGTAAAACGGTTGCTCCTTCTCCAAGCGGCAAACGAAGGAGTCATCTTATTTCATATCGTTCCGGTTCTGCCACATCTAATATGGCGGTGACGTCGACGTCCAACTGGAGGCTCAAGGCGGAGTCTGAGGTAAAAGTGATATTACGTGTGACAGTCGTCTGGCCACAAGGCGGCGCCAGCCCTTTGATTTTATTATACTTAACAGGCTGTCTTTTTTTTCGTTGTCAGCGACAAACGTAAACTCACCTTTTCCACTTTGTGTCTGGGTGAAGACCAAGAAAACTTCTTAGACAAATGGCCCGTGGCTCCAACACGAACACATTCTTGGCTCTTGAGGCGATCGTAAAACGAGGGTATAGTAACGTCTTTGAGAACACATTATTCAAGAGAAGTCGTTCCTTTTTTTTCTGCAGCGTTTCCAAACAAGACGCAGTGCTTCGCTGCTTCAAAGAGTAAAGCGTCAATTCGACGTAGAGAATAAATCAGATGGTGCTTTCCATTCACGAACTCACTCACTGTGTGGCTGTCCACTGACTGACAGTGTAATGTTTTGTTTTGTTTTGTTTTGTTTTGTTTTGTTTTGTTTTGTTTTGTTTTGTTTTGTTTTGTTTGTCCAGTCAAAGCAACAATGATGCCTGTTTACGCCTACAAATCTACATTTTGAGATTGTTCTTGAGATTTTATTGTATTTTTTTGATCACACCTGAAGGCACCTGTACAGCTTGTTTGGTATGTGCTTTTGTACTTGAATGAAAATTAGACAATGATTTGAAGTTATTTTACACAATGTCAAACAAAATAGATAGATTCACGAGATTTTTTTGGTAAATTTTGGAAATATTGGTTTTGTTTTTAAAATGCTTTTTTTTTTTTTGCAAATGTTTTTGTTTATATTTTTTTACTCAAATCTCTTTGTCTGATTGTAAAATAAAGGCAAATTTCTCACCGTAGTGACGTTCCTATCAAAGGCAATGCATTGACACTGAAAAGAAGTCATAACTTGTTCAATTCTTGACTGAATTTCATGAGTTCAACTTTTTTTTCCCTTGTAATCGTAGTCCACACCCACGGAATACACCCACTGCCTTTTCATCTCATTTTTGCAATGGATGAAATGTTTAATATTGATCATCACGGTACTAGGTAGCATCTGGAAACACGAGTCGCCTATCATGTACTTCGGTATGGCTAATTTTATATTGTGTCAATCGCAAAGGTCACCTTGACCTTGATCAACATAACACCGCATGCGGTCGCACCAAAAGAACACAGACAGGAGCATTTTCTGCCTCCTTGCTTGTAAATGTCAAACAACAAAGCTTTATTTGAAAGGAGGAATAAAACATGAACAAAAGTTGCGGAATGCGACTAAAATTATGTTTATAAATGATCGTGAAAGAACAATCATTGATGGAAATGGCACTTAATAGTTCAGAAAAGTCATTTTTCTTCTGTTTATCATCAAGTCAGTTTGTCGACTAAAGCAAAAAAAAAAAACAACAACAAAAAAGGCCACACACACGGTTATGCGACCACTTTTACTACACATGTGACAAACTGTATTCGCTTTTTATCAGCAGGCTTCCCGCTTGAATTTTGTCAAGACTGGACCTGGACCGGGTACAAAAAAAAAGAAGGATTTATTCCTTCGGGAGAAAAATAAAAGACTTTCGAATGAAGCCTCACCTCGCACGTTTGACATCCTCCTGCGGCGCAGAGGCAGAGTCACATCCGGCCTGGGGGTGGACTCGGACGTTCTCAGCACCTCCTCCAGCGTGCAATGTTGCTGGCTTTCCTAGCCAACCGAAACAGAGCCAGTGAGCCACCGCTTGTTGGACTAACCCCCCCCCAGCTAAGGCGCGTCATTTTGCTGTACCGTTGTCTGAGATGGCTGACATTTGGCCCCTCTGGTTGGAGTGTTCGAAACCGGGCTTCTCGCGGCGCGCTCTTTCTGAAGGAGGACCGTCTGCCAAGCGGCCCGGAACTCCAGAGAGAAGTCACTGATGGTTTTACAGAAATCCTCGGCTCTGGTTTCTCGCGCCATTGCTCTGGAGTAGCCCAGGAACAGAAGGAAGGAGTGGAACCTGGAAAAATGCGCTTTGCTTTCAGACGCACCGTCAATAGAAGGCTCCGTCTTCAAACCAACCTGTTGATAACCCGACGGTGTACGGCTCTCAGGACCTTGGTCCTGCCCTGACACTCTTCCAGAAGATTTGGCAGCTTGTGACGAAGTGTGCCGCCGAGCCCCGGGCTTTCCCCTCCACCGACAAGTCGTCTCTTCTCCCCTTTTGCCCATTTTAAATCGTCCGCTTTATCCAAAACCTTCAACTGCTCCCATGATCTCTTGGACAGGGCCTCAAGGCGGTCCAGGTTGGCGAGGACCAGGGAGTAGTCGCACTGTAAATACACGGGACCAGTTGAACCGCGTTTGAACTTTCGACGGTGGAATTTGTTTCGAGAGAGCACGCGACGGCACCTTGCCGGCTTTGCTCACAGTCGTCATGTCCGAGTAAAGGTCCGAGGATCGCGGGTAGAGCTGCAGGAGAAGCACGCAGACGTGATGGAGCAGAGGTTGGCGAGAACGCGTGTCCCGCACTTGAGAGAGCTTGCCCAGGTAGCTCAACTCGAAACCGCGGGCCTGCGGCGCAACGGACGGCGGTGAACAACCGGTGGAGGGAACACGCGCGGGTTTGCCGCCTGCCATCGCAACGATCACACTCACCTTACATCCGTTGAGAAAGTTACCGATGGCCAGCACCGTCGCAAGAACATGTCTGAAGGTCTGGCTGGCGACCAGCTGCTCCATGGCCTGCTTCAGGTAGAAGAGAGGCTTGGCGATTTCCTAACAAACGGTGAGGGGGGGGGTGGGCAACGTGGTCATTCACGGAGACAAAAGAACCCTCGAGTCGAGTCCGATAACGTGGTCGGCACTCACCTGCTCGAAGGAGTCGTAATCCAACACGAAGGCCCACAGCCGAAGTCTGGAGTCCAGGTGAGGGATCTCCCCCAAAGCCAGTAAGCAGAGCTCGGCCGGGGCGAGACGGGAGTTCGGATTCTGGGCCTTGGCCTCCTTGATCAGACTTAGCTCCTCCTCCGTTGGGATCAGCGTCCGAAGTCGCTGCAAGGCAGAGCAAAGCCTAAAACCAAACGACTGTCATGTTCCTGTTCCTGGCCGTGCCAGCAGGTGGCAGACTGAGCAGACTTGCTGTTTGCACACCTGCCGCCAATCTTGCAATTAAGGAACTCTGTATTTCAGGACCCACAAACTGTCAGCTGCTTGTCGGAGGCTTGTTTTGCCTTGCTGCTTTCCTTGCTCAGAGACCTTTACTATAGGCCTTGTTGTTTTCACTATTGGTATGTCGGTAGCATTGGATTTGTAAGTATGGTTTTTGTTTTTGTGAATTGGCGTTTGCTTGCGTTTATTAGATTCTTTGTTTTTCGTTTGTAGTCTTGGGTTTGTTTTCCTTCCTTGCCTTTTGCGCAAGCGCGAGTGATGGGACGATGATACCTCAAAGAGTGTATTGACCCACTTCACAAACTGTGTCAGCACTGTATTGACACCGTGTTGGTCACCCAATAGTGACCCCTGCAATAGTTATAAAAATCATTGTCTGGAGTCTACAATTTTTGGGATCCAAAACATGATTCAGTTCGACAGAAACGTGACAACGACGGCATCGGGAGTCCGTGAAGAACCGAACGAGCGCCCCCGCACCTGGATGTCCTCGCGGTCCAGGACGGTGCCGTCCATGCTGTAAATTGCAGGCGGGAGGAGGTGCAGGGGAGGCAGGCCGCTCAGGGTGATGGTGACGTTGTTACTCCTCTTCATCCCCAACACTGAGACTGAGGCTTGTTTCTGGTTTGCAAGCGAGACGCTCAGCAGGAACGCGGCTGGAGTTCATACTTACCGGCGACGACTCTTACCCGCTGGCCACAAGCGAGACTCAAGCAAGCGCTCTTGCCCTTCCATTCGAACAGGAACTCCAGTCGCGCCGTATCCAAATGGACCGGCTCCAGTTTGGTCCAGATGGTCTGCGTCCCGAAGCGAGTCTTCCTGGGAAGCGGGGCCACATTCTGCAGTGCCCGCCAGTGGAGCTTCAGGGTGCCGCTTTTAGCCGAAGCGCTCTTTGGGGAGCCCGTGAAGATTCGGGGGTCGAGAGGAGGGGGTGGCGGAGGTGCTGAGACCCCGCGGAATCCTTCCTTGCTCGAGTCGCTTCCCGAGTTGCTCGCTTCCCCTTCTGCGGCGTCTGCGTCCACGTCTTCCTCATCCCAGAGGTCCGTGAAGTCCAAGGCGTTAAGGCAGAGACGAGTGGCAGGTTGGAGGGGCCAGGCTTGGTCAAAGTCAACCATCGGGGGGGTCTCTTTGCTTTGCTGCGACTCCTTCATGATGTGGCGCGCGTTTCCTTCACCACATTGAGGTGGTCGCTTCTTCTCTGAAGGATACTCCAAACTTCAAAATTTTAATCGGAACCCAGACAAAGTCCACCGGTTTGATCCAGCAAGTCTCGCGCCCGCCACTGATGGGGAAACATCAGGCCACTTGGACGTCCTCCTTCTGAGAGACAGCCCGTGCGTCGCTGGAGTTTATTTGAGCTGCGCCCTTTCCCTTCATTTCCTTATCGGGCATTTTATCGGGCAATTGCCGCTTGCGCACACACACCAACCGCTCCGGGATCGACGCTGTCCGCAGCCTCATTCGTCCAACCTTTGCAAACAACAAAATACGAAGACACGTCGCTCTGATCGACACTCATCTTGGTGTTCACTTGCAGTCAATTGCATTTCAGGTCAGAAGAAGTAGCAAGAAAAGGCACGGACGTGATCTGGCGCCGTTCTCCGGGGACATTTGCATGGTTGACTTGCAGACTTAATGAGGTTGCCGCCCTTCATCACACTTGATCTCGCTTGCTCGCGAGCTCTCAGGGGACACGCAGAGCCAAAATTGCAGTTATGGCCGAGCGCTCGGATTTGCAGTTGCATCTTGACAAACGCGTAGAATCACTCATGGGCTTGGGGATGTTAGCCTTTGCCGCATGTCGCATGTTTTTATTCAAATACAAAACAATAAATTAAACACGATTCTGTCGTTCATGCCAAGAAATAATGACTTAAAAAAAAAAAAAACACTAACATCCGTGGAGTAGGAGTGATCCATGTGTCCTGTGATTGACCGGCGACCATGGATGGATTATTTCTTCAATCACGCTTTGTTCACATCAAGTCGCGTATTTGATCATGTGCGCACAGCCAAAATCAATCTACTTGATCCTCTAAGCGCTTCTTCTCAATCATCGATTGGCTTCAGATTTGACTCTAGATCTTCATGTGACCCAACGTTTTTTTTTTTTTTCATGCCAAGAAATAATGACTTAAAAAAAAAAAAAAACACGAACATCCGTGGAGTAGGAGTGATCCATGTGTCCTGTGATTGACCGGCGACCACGGATGGATTATTTCTTCAATCACGCTTTGTTCACATCAAGTCGCGTATTTGATCATGTGCGCACAGCCAAAATCAATCTACTTGATCCTCTAAGCGCTTCTTCTCAATCATCGATTGGCTTCAGATTTGACTCTAGATCTTCATGTGACCCAACGTTTTTTTTTTTTTTTTTTTTTAAATTCTCAGCTGTGTTCTTTGCACTTCTCCGTGGACATTCTCCCATCATGCCACGCCTCCCTGGTGCTCCTCAGGGCCTTGGTCCTCTTGGGGTCCACCACCACGTAGTCGACGCGCACGCGTACGGCGCGGGCGCACTCCTCCGCACACTCGGCCGGCTTGTCGCCTCTTCCGTCGATGTCGTCCGGGCAACGTTTCTGCAGCGTCACAACACAAAAATTCCCACAAATGTTGGAATGCAAGCTCATTTATATAAAAGTCCAAGTTATTGCAAATCATTTTTCAGCCCCACAAGCGGCAGCTCGGAATACTGTTACCTGTCTTGGTGGTGTCGATCGCCCCGTGTGGAGGTCCAGGTCTAGGTACTCCACCTGTTTGTTGCCTCTGGCTCGCCGGGCCAACGGGCTGCTGGCCCCGCCCTCAGAGGCCCGGTGAAGCATGAGCCTTAGAGACTGCGGGCACACAGGAAGAAAAAAAATGAAATGAAAAAGAGGGGAGGAATCCATTGCGAGGAGGAGATGGAGGAAAGCGTTATTTACGGGCTCTCCCGCGCTGAAGCTGAGACCGCTGGTCGTCATGGCGACGTAGCTGTCATCGGGATCATCCGAGTCGGAGGAAGGAGACGAACTGTGGGATGAGGTCGGCCTGGCTGAATGGCGACCGGGCGGGCTGAAACGTCACGCAAGGACATGAATAAGAAGTGGCAAGACACATGAGCGCCCCGCAGCTGGACGGTGAGATTGCTGTAACGCCTTGTGCTGCCACAAGAGGGCGCGCTTAATGTGTTTTGTTGGGATCCAGCAACCATTTCAACCATGAATGTCGGCTTTTAGTGATGTCGGAAGACACCCAGCAGATACATACTCTCTGGTGAAGGTTCGAGTGACAGGTGAGCGCACAGGGGGCGGGACTTCCTGCCATTCCTGCTGCACTGGAGGGAGATTCAAAGGAGCTGGTTTCCCTGGGAGACGCAAAGACAAAATTATACCTTTCACGCGCGTTGATATGCACTTATTGAAGTTATGAAAGCAGAGTTTTGAAATGCATTTAACCAGGAAAAAAAAGGCAATCAATATCAGTATCTCAATATCTCTTTCTTTACATTGCGCTTTCACAACAGCTGTAGCTGAAACAAAGCGCTTTGCAGAACGTTCAACATTAAATAACAAAACAACAGAATGCCAAACATGCAACATTGACCATACTGTCATACTTCTGTCAGAACTCAACAAAAGCATATATTTGTACACTGTACATGTCGAAGTACCATGTTGACTTGCATCACCTCCTAATTCCTAAAATTAAACAAAGAAATCATTTTCGCTCCTCTTGTGTAGTTATCATAACCAGCTTCATGATGTCATGAAGAGAAAACGCTGTTGGTCTTGTTTGTGTGTCAGTTGCGTGCCTGAAGATCCATGCCGGGGTGTCGTGTGAGCGTATGGACGTGAGCTGTGGCAGACAGCAGCGTCTGCGCGTGTGTGTGTGCGTGCTCATTGTGTTTACGTGTTTTACTCTTATCCTGTCATTCAATCGACGGCTGAAAAGTGCTCTAGTGACCGAGGCTCTCCTTTCCCACATCCGCTGGCATTACAGAAGCACGCTGCATATTCACTAATTTGCCTATTTGTGGATATCCATTTTTTTTGGGGGGGGGGGCGGGGGGGGCTATCTTCCGTCAGTCACTGAAAAATAAAAAATGGGACATATCATATAAAATTAGTGCTTTGGCGCTATCTGGTGACGTATTGGTGCCAAGCACAGATATGACCTAAGGTGAGTACAGTAGCTTAATTTAGATCAGTCACATGTGTTTTCATTGTGTTTGAAACAACTGAAAAGTGCATTGGGGACTGGGGCTCTCCTTTCCCATATGAGAGGGCATTCAAATACAATACATCGAGTAAAACACACAAAAATAGTGGGAATAAACTGCAGATTTCAGTGAAGTAGTGTGTATCTTGCACCCTCACCGCTGCGCCTGGGCTTGAGATCGCGGTGGATGGGGGGCGGCAGGGCCTCGCGCTCCCCTCCACCAACCGCACTCCTGCGGATCGGAGGGGCAGGGGGCGTGGCGGGCGTCAGAGCGGTGCTACGGAAGCCCGTGTGAGCGGGCGGCGGCACCTGCCTCCCAAAAGACACCGGGTCTGCCGAGGCGGGCGGGCGAGCGGCGACGGGGGTCATGGGGACGTAGTTGACCTCTTGGCGATGAACGGATGCCTCCGAGGGTCTGAAAGGATGAAAATTTCATGGCGGGGCAATGAAGACGCAATCATGAGACTCGCGCTTGTTGATGAAACGCACCGTGCGGCGAGCGGCGGTTCCGTGGTGGCGGCGCTCATGGCAACGTAATTTTGGTCCGCGTCGTCGTCTTCGGAGCAAACGCTGCCCAGCGGTACCATGCCTTTATTAAACTGACAGTGCACGGCAACCTGTCAAGGTCCAACTCAAACATTTGCGCCTCCCAAACATTTGGGGATGGTTGGATTTCAGATTGGGCAATTAATACCAAATCAGGAACCAAGTGCTCATTTCTGTCGCTAAAAAAAAACTCACAAAGTAGCTGTTGAAGCTGTCGCTGAAGTCAAAAATGCTCGCTCGGTCAGACAGAGAGCGAGCGGCGGACAGCGACTCGCAACCTGAAGACAAACAAAAACACAACAGCAGGAAAAACATCAAGAGGGTCGAAAATGGGCAAATGGCATTTTTTTTCTTTTTTTTTTGCCATTGAAATGCCAAACTCGTTGACTGCCATCCATGTCTTTCATGTCAAAGAGCCATTTTTACTGGGTTTGCAGTGACTGAGTTAATGTTGGAAAAAAACAAACCATTAAACCACATGGTTGTAATTATTGTACCTACTGTAGTATTCGTGAGTTGAATGCGTGGCCTATTCAGAAACACCAGGAGCCGGGTTGTTGTTGGCCGCGTCGCCTCCTGTTTGTGTGTCTGGCTGTGAGTTGTGGCCAAAAGCAGCTCCTTGCCGCTCCGTGCTGCCATTTTGTATGTATGTTTGACTGCTCGTCAAGTTTATTTGCCTTTATTTTAGTTGAAGCTTAACCTATGAAACCGAAACCTTCAGCATAAAAAAAAAATCTGATAGTAAATTGTACTGCAGACAAATTTATTGTTTGTGTTTATTAAAAAATATAAGTGGGAAGAGGGGCTTGAAATAAAAAAATAAAAAAAAAAAAGAAAAAGAATCACATGTTAAATCGCAAATATTGAGAGGGGGAAATTGCAATGAAATTATTTTTCCAAATTGTTCAGCTCCAGCACAATATGGACGTCTTTTGGGATTAGTGTTGCTGTCATCAACAAAAATTAGGATGAAGCATCTTCATCAGCGAGACTTAATCATGTGAAGGAGACGAGACGCGACCAAAACAGCTTGGCTTTCGCCACGGGTGCTTCTATGAGCTCGTTTACCAGCCGCATGAGTTGAAGAAGCAGCTGTGGCGAAAGCAAAAGTACGGCACCGGTTTTTTTCTTTGTGGACCTGAATTTGCCACCATTCCAGCAAACCCCCCCAATGCTCAGACTTTTTGTTGACCAAAACTTGACCAAACTAAAAAGAGTATGAACATGACTAAAACCGATTAAAAAACTCAAGTGACAGCTTGACACAAAGACTAAAATAGACCACCAAAAACAACGTTTGGGACAGCTCACCTGAGAGTGACTTGCCCCCCGTGGGACTCTCTCCTGGTGCTGCGATGGCGACAGGCTTGGGCGGGCGCGGCGGCGGCGGCGGGGCTGGCGTGGAGGCGCAGAGCTCCGCCTGGCTGAGGGGTGCCACGCTCGGTGTGGAGGAGGGGCGCAGAGCGGGGGCCGGCTGAGGTCCGGATGCCAAGCGGGGCACCTGGTAGCCGCCGGAGGGAGCGGCGTCATAGACGGGGATGGCCACGGGACGCAGGTGGAAATCCAAAGAGTGCTTCCTGGGGTGGGGGGAGGGGTGACAGCGAGGCTTCCCACCTTCTCTGCGGAGGTAAGGAGTCACGCCGGAGTCCAGAGATTGGCTTAGGGCGGCCGTCGGTGGGGCGGCTGTCCACGGCGCCGTCCGGGAACTGGAGGAAGGAGGGGGGAGGCTGATGGGAAGAGTGGAAGGCGAGGACGAAGAAGATGAGGAGGTGGAAGACGGAGGGGGAGGGGGGAAGAGCTGGTCACCGTTGTCGCTTTCCAGGGAGGGGGAGGAACCTTCGGGGGGCCTGCAGGAGAAAGGCCAACAAGCGCACTCAGCGGTCACAACCAACGGGGGGGTGGGGGGGGAGCATGACTATCGCCACGGCAACGGCGCCACATGGAAAGTGAGGCTTCCTGCTCTTTTACCTGACACGAGTCTGGCATTGCGCCAGCCACAGGTAGTCGTCGTGCGCATGACCGCTGTCGGCCTCCAGGGGGCGCAATCTCGCTCGGTCGTGAGGGGGCGGGGCAGATGTTGTTCCCGTGGAAACGGGAGGGCTGTCATGAACTGCAAGTGCAAAAAAAAAAAAAAAAAATGTAAGAATTAAGTTGAAATGTTCATTTCAGGACTGTTATCTTGGAGGAGCGATGATCAATTGTTTTTGGAAGTGCAAATAATCTGCACGGAAACTGACCTTCACGTCTCAGCAGTTGCTCGATTTAAATGAAACAGACTTCCTCGAATGCGTCTCACTGACCTTCGGTTGGGTTGAAGCCGCACAGCAGGCAGATGGCCGCCACCCAGCGGTTCATGTCGTCCTCCGACTCGGCCACGAGGTACCACGTCCTCTCCTCCGTCTTCAGGTCGAACACGAAGCTCTTCTCCAATTCCTTCTTGGTGAACGACAGCCCGGCGTCCACCTGGAGTAGGAGACAGAGGACCTCAACCGTCTCGCCCGGTTGCTGTGTGCGCCGTGCGTTGCGTACCTGCTCGCACAAGTTCAAGTTGATGGTTCCGATAGGCCGTCTGGAATTCGGGTTTTTGTAATACTGCAGAACGTCAGGCTCGCCGCTCAGCCGGCCGCTGCGCAGCACGAACCAGCGCCTCTTCCACGCCTGCGGGAGGACATGGCGACAAATTGTTTGGGGTGACTTTGCTGCGCTTTACGTGTGTGACATGGCAGCCCGGATCCTGTTTCACACACACACGCAAGTCACTCGCTGCAAAGTGTGTGACATGCTTTGTTAGCATTAAGCTAGGAGACTTTCATTCGCCAAAATGAAACGGCCCGCTTGAACACTTGGGTGTTGAAACATCCCATGTTTAATTCTCTTTTGTTTTAGCGTTCAGTTGCCTCTTTTTTACCGGCGCTCGCACTTACGTTGAAAAGTGCATTTTAAAAATTTGAATCACAAAGGGTGGTAAAAGTACCGTTTTGGCCCGAATATAAGACGGTGTTTTTTGCAATAAAATAAGACTGAAAAAGTGGGGGTCGTCTTATATTCGGGGTCTAGACATCATACCCATTCGCGACGCTAGATGGCGCCAGATATCAATGAAGTGAATGCTGAACTTGACTCCCCAGGCCAAAGTGAACCCCTGCCATGAAGAATAAAAATAAAAATAGCGGTAGCGCGAAGAAGAAAAATAAAAAATAGTGGTAAGAAGACAAAAGAGAAGAAAATAATAGAAGAGATAACAGAAAATGGAGAAACGTAGTGACAATCTGGAGAAAAATGGGTCGAAGATCGGCCAGGTTAACCGGCAGCTGAGGAGAAGTTATGATGTCTTTTCCATTTCAAAAACCAGAAGACATTCATTTACGAATGTGATTGCACTTTAGATTTGAATGAGGCAAAATAACATGCTTTTTCTCTCAAATATATTGTTATAATCATTTGTTTCAGATGTACTGGAATTATTTTCTGTACAAAAATTAATTTGGTGTTCAAAAAGTCTTTTTTCAAACTTGAGTCTTGAAAAAGAGGGGGTCGTCTTATAATCAGTGCCATCTTATATTCGGGCCAATACGGTATCTTTAAAATGTTGCTAATGTGGTGTCTCCACGTTGTGGATTTTCACTACTACGGTTCGCATGAAACGAGGCTTCCCTCTTACGTGTTTTTGTCCATCAAAGCGCACGACACTTCAAGCTAACTGTGCCAAGCGAGCGTCCCATCTCTGGCTGAAAACAGACAGGACAGGAAGAGGAAGTAGTCGGACAGGAAGTGAGCCGGCGGTGGCCCGTACCTGAAAAGAAGCCGTGTTTTGAGAGTCACATGCAACAAAACACTTTCTCAAATCCTCCTTCCTCTTCCTTTGGTTTTCGCTCTTGACCCCCACCTTCTTCCGACAGGAAGTGGACACAATGGATCCAAAAGAGCACTTCCTTCCCAGCCGCTATCCAAACCAAAAACCGAAGCCGAAGCTTTCACAACCGCTTCCCGCCTTCCACTTTGCTTATTTAGACCTCTGTTCCTCCTCATCCTGTCACATCTCACCAGCGCGGCCGCGTGACGTCCCGGGCCCACCGATGCGCTCATTTCGGAACCATCCGACCAGGGAGGTCTTCCACATATTTGAGCGCGCGCGCGCGAGTGTGCGTTCCTTTCCATTCTCCTTGGAAGCAAGTCCTTCCATCGCCTTCGAGAAGGCGCAGCTGAGAGCGATTAGAAGGGATTACATAACACGCACACAGAGGGAGCGTGTGATGAAGTTTGCCGCTCGAACTTTAGCCCAAATCTTCATATGAGCACACGTTTTTGCCGCCGCAGTCACAAGGCTCTCGCCGTGGGTGCGCGTGTCGACAACGGGCGCGCAGCGCGATCAAAATGCGCAAATGTACAAAACGAAAGCCCTTCGTTGCGTGACCGTGACAGGCTTTAAGAATGGGATTATTTGATTTTTTTATTTTATTTTTTTTTAGCCAACAGTCTCCAAGTTACCGTCCACCATCAATAGTGCATGTCCTCATTTGGGTCACGGATGAGCTGAAGCCTCTCCCAGCCGTCTTCGGGCTGTCGGCGGGGGGACACCCTGAACTGGTTGCCGGCCAATTGCAGGGCACACGTCGACAAACAACCATTCGCACCTAAAGTACATTTTTGAGTGAACAACTAATTTCATTTTGTGAACTGTAGTGGATGCTCACTCTCACTTAACCTCCATGAAAAACAAAACACACAAAAAAACAACAAAAAAAAACAAAGAGTTACTTGTGGTCACAACAAGGATGGAGATTAACACGACTCACTGGACAGGTATGCCAGATATGCGGTGTGTGTGTGTGTGTGTGTGTGTGTGTGTGTGTGTAAAGTTCTTTCCTATCATAATAGCGTGATAAGATGAGTCTTGTTTTTGCTTCCTCACCGGGGAGGAACGGAGTATAAGGAAGCAAAAGTACGTTCTTCTAGCCGCCGGTACTCACATAACGGCGAAGCTTTTTCTCCGGCGGCGATTTTCGGAGCCACCCTTCGCAAACGACCTCGGCGGCTCCACTCATCCTGGGCGCCGGGCGTATCCTCCTTTCCGGCAGTCAATCAGGTGTCGCTCGAGTTGCGCCTCATTAGTCAAGCCGGACCCTCGTCGAGGGAGCTGCTCTGGAGTCCACTGGCGAGCGAGTGAGTCCCGCCTCCTTCTCCCGAGGCCTTCTCCTTACCACCACTGGCTCCTCCTCCGGCCCAGACAACGGGGGGGACATTCCTGCCCAAGTCTCCTCCCACTCTTCCCGCTTGTCTTCTTCTCCCTCCGCTCCCTGGAACAGCGAAACATGCTCTTTCGAGATGCCCTCACAAGGACATGCATCATGAAAACGGACTTGACTCCCACTGACCTATCGCCTGGTTTCAATGGAAATTCAATTTGAAAGGATTCCTCTCTCCGCGCTCGGTTGTAAATGCTGACCTGCGGTGCTGCTCGGTCGTATGACTGCAGAGGTAGCACATTCCATAGATTTGCAATCAGTGTTCATTCAGTGTTTCTTCCACTTATCCTGGGTCAGATCGCCGAGAGGGGGTGGGGGTGGGGGCAGACAACCTCAGCGGAGACGAGGAGACTAACCTTCCTGCAAACACGTCTTCGAATTCTTCCAGGCTTCCTGAGATGTTCCTCGGCCAGCCGTGAGACAATCCGAGAGCAAAGCCTCTTCTGCTTGTCCTGGGCCTTTCCTGGTGTGCATCTTCCAGGTTTGAATAGGAGGCATCCGAAACAGATCCCCGAGCCACCTCATCTAGCTCCCCTCCATGTGGAAAAGCAGCGCCGCCCCCGCCTCCGCAGATGACCGAGCTTCTCAGCACCGAGGAAACTCATTTCGGCCCATTGCATCCGCAATCTTGATCTCCCAAACACGACCGGCTCCTTGTGACCACAGGTGCGCTTGGGAGCCGCTGGAAAATGGAGAGCATTGCCTTTTTGGCTCTGCTCTGGCTTCACCTGCGACGCAGCAATCCACCAGTCCATTTCCCGTTCTATTATTGCTTCACTTATGAAGAAGACCCCAAAATACGAATAAACTCAGCCACGATCCGCTCTGGCAAGAGGTGAAAACGGCAACTTGATAAGACCGACAGAGCACTGGAAGGCTCGTTTTTTTGTTTTTTTTTTCATCAAAATACATTTCCACAGATTTGAACTGACTGCTCCAAAACGACTCTATCACTCAACGATAACGGGAATAAAATAAACCTTTTCCTTGATGTGTTTTTTTTCGGGTTGGAGAATTTTTGAATACCAGAAATGGGTTCTTTTCAAACCACAAGACACTCGGCACGAGCTCTGAACCATTCTCGGAGCTGACGAGATTCAAGAAAACCATCGATAGGCGGGTGGGGGGTCTTGTTCCCCATTCATGTTCCTCCATCTTCACCCGAGATGTCACTCAGTCAAAAGCGTCTCCGCAGTGGACTTTTTTTATTTCTTTATGGTTGGCTGACAACACAGCTGTCTACTCAGGTGTGCCCGGCGCATTTGCGTGAACACACCTGTAAATTTGACTCCTGCCACACATTCGGATGATTGACGGAAAATCAGATACTGAACGGATGAGGAGGAGTTCATTTATCTCTCGGGCCCCGAATCCTTGCCAACTTCATGACAAGCAACATCGCTGTTCCCCCGTCCCCTTTTTTTTCGGTCATCTCAAGTTTTCCAGGCACTTCCAATGCCTTCACGGCCCACCTGCCATCATCAGACCACATTTGACAAGCACACACTTTGAAGGCAACAAGGATGGCTTTTATTCCACAGTTAGATTCCACACATTTTTAAAAGCAATTACATTTAAAAAGCAGAAACAAAAATCCTCGCAAATTCAGAAAGAAAAAAAAAATGCAAACTAAGAAATCACTGGATGGTGACGTGTTGGGTACGCCAGACTCACCGAGTGCTGTGTTTAGAGCACGTCCATCTCTTGTACAGAAAGAGGACGGGCAACACCAAAGTGCCGGGCACCCAAGCCACGAGTTCCACCACCGCAAACAAACAATAAACATGATTAAACGACACAATGACCCCGTACACTGAGGTCGTCAGACTCCACGTGTACCTCAGCAGCAACACCGTCAGGATGATCAGGATGCTTTTGAAAGCCCTCCGCTTGTTCGGGTCCATCCGGGACGCACTCTGTGAGCCCGGCCCTTTTCGAATGAGAACACAGAGAACCGAAAGACTGCAGAAGGCTATGACAATTAAGATAAGAGTCAGGAAGACGATTGCCACGATGGAAGAATACTGCACATATGCTAAATATGTGCTAATGGAGGAAATCAGCCAAACGCTGGCAATGACGACGCTCCGGAGTTTCAGGGCCCACCCCTGCCTCAGGCCCATGTAGGTGATTGGATGGACCGCGGCCAGATAGCGATCGAGGCAGGTCAGCGAGTGAAACATCACCTCGCCGTACCACATGAAGTAAAATATGTAAAAGGCGTAAGCGATGACTTTGTATTTGTTCGCCAAGAGGCCGTAAAGACGCAGGAGTGAGGCCAGCGCTCCGATCACGTCCATGGCCGCCATGTGGAAGGTGAACATGTCGGAATGACTGACCGCGGGGCCGGACGACGAAGGGAAGGCCGCGGCGGAGCGACGCCGCCTGGTCTGACGGTACGCGATGTACAGGACGTTGAAGAAGAGGGGAAGCGTGAGCAGGTTGAAGACGTTGAAGCACATGGAAAAGATGCGCAAGGGCCCAGATTGGAAGCACTTGATGAAATCACTCGAGTTGCTGGACATCTGCAAGAGGACAGACGAGACAGTTCCCATCAGACGCGAATCAGGGCCATGTACATATGTCAGTGAGCACTTCTCCTTTGGTGAGGTCACATTCACTCTCCGGGTGTGGCATGTGAAGATGAAAGCAGAAAGCAGCGCGTCTTCGGCCACCCGCAATAAAAGGCCACTCGTCGAAGATGGGCGTACATTTTACAAAGAATTTTGAATGATGTTAGAGAACCACTCCATTACTCAAGCTAAAATATGCCATGTTGCCTGGATTGCTGACCTTCCTTGTTAAAAAAAAAAAAAGGTGACTCACCTTATCAGGAGCACTTCCAAAGTCCAAACGTTTCGGATGCGACTTCTGAGACGAATGAGATCCCCGCTGGAGCCGTTTTGCATGTTGGCGGGGATGAAGTCTTCACTGTACAAACAGTAACTTGAGCCACAATCACCGATTCTCAGCTATGGCACGCTCCAGGAAGCGGGACGAGTGGACGTGATTCGGTTTCTGTTTTGGGTTATATATATATATATATATTTTTTTTTTAGAGGGGCCGATAATGACTGTTTCCATGTCGAGCCATTGAATTTTTTTCGAGCCAAGGCACATTTCTTTCATTGAAAACCACTAGCTGAAATGTGAAAAAAGCTTATTTAAACAATTAAGTGTTACATTGTTATTGTAAGCATTATTTAACATTGAAAAAAAAATAACGCTACATTATAACACCTGGACTAGGAATCAAATCAACACCAATCCAATATTTTATAATCTTGCATATTTATTCTCACTCAGTGTGATAAATGGTTTGGATGAAAACAGATCTGATATACTGGTAGCAATCTATAGAAGACCCACAAAGCTCTTCCTCCACAGCTCTCATTCTTTCTATGGTTTAAGTTTTTACAGCAGTCAGGCTATCGCTTTAGCCGCTTCCGGCCGGTAAAAGTAAATCCAAATGAAAGATAACTCGTTGTTTTGCGTGGCGCCGGAAACTTCGCTTGTCTCGAAGCATAAGGCGATTAGCTAGCTGCTGCTGCTCCCTGCCGGTATGGAAGAGTACTACAGGCAGTAGACCGCACAGGCATACATATTGGATCATTTCCCACGGCACAGGGTTTGAAAAACACTGCATTAAGCAACAGAAGGGTGCAAAGACCTCCGCTTTTGATCGCAGGGAAGCAAGTGTTCATCCTCTCTGTTGTCCGACACGCTGAGCTGAGCCGTCATCGCCTCAAGGCAAGTTTGCCGATGACGTTTTGGGGCGTGTCTCTCGGTCGATTATCTTGCTTTGTGTTGCCCGCCAAAATTTGAGTTCAATGAATGTGTCATGCCTGTGTATGAAGACGCCAGCAGAGGGCGACAAACACTTTCTGAAAATATATATATATTTTTTTTTGTAGCGGACAATGACTGTTTCCATGTCGATCCATTGAATGAGGGACACGCGCACACACAAGGGACCAGGTGTTGAAATGACAACGCTTCCATAATGCGTGTGCACGCGTGCTAGTTTTTCCCCGTTTAGCAAAGAGAGGGAGGACAACACGCACTCAACGCAGTGCGAGCTCGTGTGAGTGGGAAGAGTTGGAAAGGGTTGTTCTTGTCCTTTAGTTTAGTGTTTCCCCGATCTTGACTGAATCAACGCTCCCCATATTACATGGGAAAAATCTCACACCAATCTTGGACCTGAAGGGAGAGATTGTTGGGAGTCGACTGTAACACAAAGAAAGTTCAGTCTAATGGATGACATCATTGGAATTTCTTCAGAACTGTCTCTCATTCTTTCTATGGTTTAAGTTTTTACAGCAGTCAGGCTATCGCTTTAGCCGCTTCCGGCCGGTAAAAGTAAATCCAAATGAAAGATAACTCGTTGTTTTGCGTGGCGCCGGAAACTTCGCTTGTCTCGAAGCATAAGGCGATTAGCTAGCTGCTGCTGCTCCCTGCCGGTATGGAAGAGTACTACAGGCAGTAGACCGCACAGGCATACATATTGGATCATTTCCCACGGCACAGGGTTTGAAAAACACTGCATTAAGCAACAGAAGGGTGCAAATACCTCCTCTTTTGATCGCAGGGTAGCAAGTGTTCATGCTCTCTGTTGTCCGACACGCTCAGCTGAGCCGTCATCGCCACATGGGAAGTTTGCCGATGACGTCTGGGGCGTGTCTCTCGGTCGATTCTCTTGCTTTGTGTTGCCCAACTTGCCCGCCAAAATTTGAGTTTAATGAACGTGTCATGCCAGTGTGAGCGGGAGGACAACGTGCACTCAACGCAGTGCGAGCTTGTGTGAGTGGGAAGAGTTGAAAGGGTTGTTCTTGTCCTGTCTTTAGTGTTTCCCCGATCTTGACTGAATCAACGCTCCCCATATTACATGGGAAAAATCTCACACCAATCTTGGACCTGAAGGGAGAGATTGTTGGGAGTCGACTGTAACACAAAGAAAGTTCAGTCTAATGGATGACATCATTGGAATTTCTTCAGAACTGTCGAAAGGTCCCCAACCTTGTTTTTTTTTTTTTTTTGCACCACAGACCAGTGTGACATAAAGATACATGTCCACAGAGAGGCATGAAAACAGATAAGGACAAAAGATTAGAAATTTGATTTTCCATGAAGCTAATTGCAGTTGTTTCTCCTCAACAAAACGGATTGAACGACAACGATAAAAATTGACGGAAAATCAGATACTGAATGGATGAGGAGTCCATTTCTCTCCCGGCCCGCGAACTCTTGCCAACAAGAAACATTGCAGTTTTTAAAAAAAGTTTTCCAGGCGCTTGCAATGCCTTCACGGCCCACCTGCCATGTCAGTGTCTCTCGGTCGATTCTCTTGCTTTGTGTTGCCCAACTTGCCCGCCAAAATTTGAGTTTAATGAACGTGTCATGCCAGTGTACGAAGACGCCAGCAGAGGGCGACACTTTTTGAGAAGGCAACAAGGATGGCTTTTATTCCACAGTTAGACTCCACACATTTTTTAAAAGCAATTACATTTAAAAAGCAGTGAAACAAAAATCCTCCCAAATTGAGAAAAAAAAAAACGCAAACTAAGAAATCACTGGATGGTGACGAGTTGAGTACTACAGACTCACCGAGTACTGTGTTTAGAGCACGCCAGTGCCCATCTCTTGTACAGGAAGAGGACGGGCAACACCAAAGCACCAGGCACCCAAATCATGAGTTCCAGCACCCCAAACCAACAATAAACGTGATTAAACGGCACAATGGCCCCGTATACTGCGGTCGTCAGACTCCACGTGTATCTCAACAGCAACACCGTCAGGATGATCAGGATGCTTTTGAAAGCCCTCCGCTTGTTCGGGTCCATCCGGTACGCACTCTGTGAGCCCGGCCCTTTTCGAATGAGAACACAGAGAACCGAAAGACTGCAGAAGGCTATGACAATTAAGATAAGAGTCAGGAAGACGATTGCCACGATGGAAGAATACTGCACATATGCTAAATATGTGCTAATGGAGGAAATCAGCCAAACGCTGGCAATGACGACGCTCCGGAGTTTCAGGGCCCACCCCTGCCTCAGGCCCATGTAGGTGATTGGATGGACCGCGGCCAGATAGCGATCGAGGCAGGTCAACGAGTGAAACATCACCTCGCCGGACCACATGAAGTAAAATATGTAAAAGGCGTAAACGATGATTTTGTATTTGTTCGCCAAGAGGCCGTAAAGACGCAGCAGGGGGGCCAGCTCTCCGATCACGTCCATGGCCGCCATGTGGAAGGTGAACATGTCGGAATGACTGACCGCGGGGCCGGACGACGAAGGGAAGGCCGCGGCGGAGCGACGCCGCCTGTTCTGACGGTACGCGATGTACAGGACGTTGAGGAAGAGGGGAAGCGTGAGCAGGTTGAAGACATTGAAGCACATGAATAAGATGCGCAAGGGCCCAGATTGGAAGCAGTCGAAGAAAACACTTGAGTTGTTAGACATCTGCAAAAGGACAGACGGACAGTTCCCATCAGACACTGTAATGGCAAATTGACATATAACAGCGCTAAATGGAAGTAACTGTTCGTGCTATTGAATGCTGACCATTTATTTTGCTGATAAGCAAAGTTGCATGAGTCTGGACTCTGTGTAGCTGCTCAAAAATGCTGATTGCGCTGGCCTTCACCAACTCCCAAAAAGATAAAATGAGAGCGCAAGACGCGGAAAGGGACAAGGCTCCCTTGACAGATCTGTAAACGGCGTCCCTCCGTGCTCTTTTTCTTTTCTTTTTCTTTCTTAAATAAATCTAATCATTTTTTTTATAAACACTTTTGTTGTCTTGGTTTCCCTGGACAAGACAACACGAATCAGGGGCGTGTACATATGTCAGCGAGCACTTCTCCTTTGCCGAGGTCACATTCACTCTTCGGGTGTGGAATGTGAAGATGAAAGCAGAAAGCGGCGCGGATTCGGCCGCCCGCAATAAAAGGCCAATCGTCGAAGATGGGCGGACATTTTACAAAGAATTTTGAGTTATGTTAGAGAACCACTCCATTACTCAAGCTAAAATATGCCATGTTGCCTGGCTTGCTGACCTTCCTTATTAAAAAACAAAAAACAAAAGGTGACTCACCTTATCAGGAGCACTTCCAAGGTTCAAACGTTTCGGATGCGACTTCTGAGACGAATGAGATCCCCGCTGGAGCCGTTTTGCATGTTGGCGGGGATGAAGTGTTCACTGTACAAACAGTAACTTGAGCCACAATCACCGATTCTCAGCTATGGCACGCTCCAGGAAGCGGGACGAGTGGACGTGATTCGGTTTCTGTTTTGGGTCCATTAAGCCATTGTTTTTCAATTTTTTTCGAGCCAAGGCACATTTCTTTCAGTGAAAACCACAAGCTGAAAATGTGAAAAAAAAGCTTATTTAAACAATTAAGTGTTACATTGTTATTGTAAGCGTTATTTAACATTGAAAATATAACGCTACATTATAACACCTTGACGAGGAATCAAATCAACACCAATCCAATGTTTTATAATCTTGCATATTTCTTCTCACTCAGTGTGATAAATGGTTTGGATGAAAACAGATCTGATATGCTGGCAGCAATCGATAGAAGACCCACGAAGCTCTTCCTCCACAACTCTCATTCTTTCTAGAATTTTAGTTTTTACAGCAGTCAGGCTATTGCTTTAGCCGCTTCGGGCCGGTAAAAGTAAATCCAAATGAAAGATAACTTGTTGTTTTGCATCGCGCCGGAAACTTCGCTTGTCTCGAAGCATAAGGCGATTAGCTCGCTGCTGCTGCTCCCTGCCGGTATGGAGGGGTACTACAGGCACTAGACCGCACAGGCATACATATTGGATAATTTCCCACGGCACAGGGTTTGAAAAACACTGCATTAAGCAACAGAAGGGTGCAAAGACCTCCGCTTTTGATCGCAGGGAAGCAAGTGTTCATCCTCTCTGTTGTCCGACACGCTGAGCTGAGCCGTCATCGCCTCAAGGCAAGTTTGCCGATGACGTTTTGGGGCGTGTCTCTCGGTCGATTATCTTGCTTTGTGTTGCCCGCCAAAATTTGAGTTCAATGAATGTGTCATGCCTGTGTATGAAGACGTCAGCAGAGGGCGACAAACACTTTCTGAAAATATATATATATATTTTTTTGTAGCGGACAATGACTGTTTCCATGTCGATCCATTGAATGAGGGACACGCGCACACACAAGGGACCAGGTGTTGAAATGACAACGCTTCCATAATGCGTGTGCACGCGTGCTAGTTTTTCCCCGTTTAGCAAAGAGAGGGAGGACAACACGCACTCAACGCAGTGCGAGCTCGTGTGAGTGGGAAGAGTTGGAAAGGGTTGTTCTTGTCCTTTAGTTTAGTGTTTCCCCGATCTTGACTGAATCAACGCTCCCCATATTACATGAGAAAAATCTCACATCAATCGAGCCTGAAGGGAGTTCTTGTCCTTTAGTTTAGTGTTTCCCCGATCTTGACTGAATCAACGCTCCCCATATTACATGAGAAAAATCTCACATCAATCGAGGACCTGAAGGGAGAGATTTTTGGGGGAGTCGACTGTAACGTCAAGAAAGTTCAGTCTAATGGATGACATAATTGAAATTTCTTCAGAACTGTCGAACGGTCCCCAATCTTGTTTTTTTTTTTTTTTTTTTTTGCACCACACAGTCCTCAAATAGGCCACGCTCAGCTTTTTAGCGCAGAGCAATTTCCCGGAGTCTTCACGGAGATTTCAGGGTTGTCTACCGCTGACGAAGCTTCTGTGAGAGAAGCGAAACGTCCTTTTTTTTTTTTGTTTGTTTTTTGTTTTTTACCCACAGGTACAGATGACGACTGACAGAACCCTTTCTACCACAGACCAGTGTGACATAAAGATACATTTCCACAGAGAGGCATGAAAACAGATAAAAACAAAAGATTTGAAATCAGATTTTCCATGAAGCTAATTGCAGTTGTTATGCATGTTTCTCCTCAACAAAGCGGATTGAACGACAACGATAAAAATTGACGGGAAATCAGATACTGAATGGATGAGGAGGAGTCCAGTAATCTCCCGGGCCCCAAACTCTTGCCAACAAGAAACATTGCAGTTGAAAAAAATAAAAGTTTTCCAGGCGCTTCCAATGCCTTCACGGCCCACCTGCCATCATCAGACCACATTTGACAAGCACACACTTTGAAGGCAACAAGGATGGCTTTTATTCCACAGTTAGATTCCACACATTTTTAAAAGCAATTACATTTAAAAAGCAGAAACAAAAATCCTCGCAAATTGAGAAAAAAAAAAAAACGCAAACTAAGAAATCACTGGATGCTGACGTGTTGAGTACGCCAGACTCACCGAGTGCTGTGTTTGGAGCACGCCAGCACCCATCTCTTGTACAGGAAGAGGACGGGCAACACCAAAGCGCTGGGCACCCAAATCATGAGTTCCAGCACCATAAATAAACAATAAACGTGATTAAATGGCACAATGACCGCGTATGCTGCGGTTGTCAGACTCCACGTGTAGCTCAGCAGCAACACCGTCAGGATGATCAGGATGCTTTTGAAAGCCCTCCGCTTGTTCGGGTCCATCCGGGACGCACTCTGTGAGCCCGGCCCTTTTCGAATGAGAACACAGAGAACCGAAAGACTGCAGAAGGCTATGACAATTAAAATAAGAGTCAAGAAGGCGATTGCCACGATGGGAGAAAAATGCACAGATGCTACAGCTGTGCTAATGGAGGAAATCAGCCAAACGCTGGCGATGACGACGCTCCGGAGTTTCAGGGCCCGCCCCTGCCTCAGGCCCATGTAGGTGAGTGGATGGACCGCGGCCAGATAGCGATCAAGGCAGGTCAGCGAGTGAAACATCACCTTGCCGTACCACATGAAGTAAAATAGGTAAAAGGCGTCAGTGATAACTTTGTATTTGTTCGCCAAGAGACCGTAAAGACGCAGCAGGGAGGCCAGCAGTCCGATCACGTCCATGGCCGCCATGTGGAAGGTGAACATGTCGGAATGACTGACCGCGGTGCCGGACGACGAAGGCAAGGACACGGCGGAGCGACGCCGCCTGGTCTGACGGTAGGCGATGTACAGGACGTTGAGGAAGAGGGGAAGCGTGAGCAGGTTGAAGACATTGAAGCACATGAATAAGATGCGCAAGGGCCCAGATTGGAAGCAGGCGAAGAAAACACTTGAGTTGGTGGACATCTGCAAAAGGACAGACGGGACAGTTCCCATCAGACGCGAATCAGGGCCGTGTACATATGTCAGTGAGCACTTCTCCTTTGCCAGGTAACATTCACTCTTCGGGTTTGGAATGTGAAGATGAAAGCAGAAAGCGGCGCGGATTCGGCCGCCCGCAATAAAAGGCCAATCGTCGAAGATGGGCGGACATTTTACAAAGAATTTTGAGTTATGTTAGAGAACCACTCCATTACTCAAGCTAAAATATGCCATGTTGCCTGGATTGCTGACCTTCCTTGTTAAAAAAAAACAAACAAAAAAACAAAAGGTGACTCACCTTGTCAGGAGCACTTCCAAAGTCCAAACGTTTTGGATGCGACTTCTGAGACGAATGAGATCCCTGCTGGAGCCGTTTTGCATGTTGGCGGGGATGAAGTGTTCACTGTACAAACAGTAACTTGAGCCACAATCACCGATTCTCAGCTATGGCACGCTCCAGGAAGCGGGACGAGTGGACGTGATTCGGTTTCTGTTTTGGGTCCATTAAGCCATTGTTTTTCAAACTTTTTTGTGCCAAGACACATTTCTTTCATTGAAAAAAATCTTGTGGCACACCACTAGCCGAAAATGTGAAAAAAAGCTTCAACGATTATATTGTTTTTGTAAGCGTTTTTAACATTGAAAAAAAATAACGCTTTTTTTTAAAACACCTTGACTAGGAATCAAATCAACACCAATCCAATATTTTATAATCTTGCATATTTATTCTCACTCAGTGTGATAAATGGTTTGTTTGAAAACAGATCTGATGTCCTGGGAGCAATCGATAGCAGACACACAAAGCTCTTCTTCCACAGCTCTCATTCTTTCTGTAAGCTTATGTTAAATTATGAATTATTTTCATTTTATATTTGAGCATTACAATCCTTTATGTTAGAGTTACCTAAATTATATTCTGTTTCATAATTGTTGAAACATTCTTATGTTGCTTGCGTCTGATTGGCTGAAGAGAAGCAGGAAGTGTTTTCGTTACCGGAAAGAGGTGTGTTGTTCGGGAGTGGTGGAGCAGACGTTTGAAAATAAAAGCCACATTGAAACAAAATCCATCTCTCCTTTTCAGCAGTCAGGCTATGGCTTTAGCCGCTTCAAGTCCGGTAAAAGTAAATCCAAATGAAAGATTACTTTCGTTGTATTGCCTCGCGCCGGAAACTTCTCTTGTCTCGAAGCATAAGGCGATTAGCGAGCTGCTGCTGCTCCCTGCCGGTATGGAGGAGCACTACAGGCACTAGACCGCACAGACATACAGATTGGATAATTTCTCCACGGCCAGTGTTAAAAAAAACACTGCATTAAGCAACAGAAGGGTGCAAAGACCTCCGCTTTTGATCGCAGGGAAGCAAGTGTTCATCCTCTCTGTTGTCCGACACGCTGAGCTGAGCCGTCATCGCCTCATGGGAAGTTTGCCGATGACGTTTTAGGGCGTGTCTCTCGGTCGATTCTCTTGCTTTGTGTTGCCCGCCAAAACTTGAGTTCAATGAATGTGTCATGCCTGTGTATGAAGACGTCAGCAGAGGGCGACAAACACTTTCTGAAAATATATATATATATTTTTTGGTAGCCGACAATGACTGTTTCCATGTCGATCCATTGAAAGAGGAACACGAGCACACACAAGGGACCAGGTGTTGACATGACAAAGCTTCCATAATGCGTGTGCACGCGTGCTAGTTTTTCCCCGTTTAGCAAAGAGCGGGAGGACAACACGCACTCAACGCAGTGCGAGCTCGTGTGAGTGGGAAGAGTTGGAAAGGGTTGTTCTTGTCCTTTAGTTTAGTGTTTCCCCGATCTTGACTGAATCAACGCTCCCCATATTACATGAGAAAAATCTCACATCAATCTAGGACCTGAAGGGAGAGATTTTTGGGGAAGTCGACCGTAACGTAAAGAAAGTTCAGTCTAAAGGATGACATCATTGAAATTTCTTCAGAACTGTCGAACGGTCCCCAACCTTGTTTTTTTTTTTTTGCACCACAGACCAGTGTGACATAAAGATACATTTCCACAGAGAGGCATGAAAACAGATAAAAACAAAAATTTAGAAATTTGAGTTACCATGAAGCTAATTGCAGTTGTTATGCATGTTTCCCCTCAACAAAGCATCTTGAACGACAATGATAAAAAAATGGAGTTCCACTTCGGGCTCCTACCGTTATCCGACAATATTAAAATTGGACACCCTGCAAAAATACACGGTGACAATAGCAGTTCTCTGAAGTGGCTGCACATGTGCGTGCATGCATGTGCTTGTGTTTTGGCAGGAGTCTGGGCACAAAAAAACAAAAAACAAAAACAAACATTTGCACCGGGGCCTATCACCATCATGGTGACACCTCTGGCAACTATCGTTACACTTTGTCATTTCAAAGGCTGCATATGTGTCGAGAAAAGCATCCACGCACATCCTGCATTTCGTAACCGCAGCGAAGGTCAGTTTGGGATAACAGACGGCAATTCCCCCCACTTAGTGACCAGAGCGAGAGACAGGAAAACAGAGCCATCCTGGAGGATGACCAGATCATCTGGCGTGACTCTCACTGAATGATCTCCGGCACTATGAATTTACTCATCTGATTAACACAAAATTGAATGTGTTTTCGGGCCTGATCATTGACTCCTTTCTCAAGCTAATCAAAAAAAATAAATAATAATAATAATGGAAAAAAAATGGTTTGTCAAACTCTACCATTAGTGCTAGCTAACAAATTTAGCTGGTGTGGCTAAAGGTGTGTTTTAATGAAGCAACGGCCTCAAATTATGGAAGAGGTCAAAAAAATTACAGTTACTGTACCTTTTAAAGACAAAGTATGGAACACTTTTGGTGAAAAAAAAACCCAAATCAAAAGGGGGCGGTTTCACCCAAGAGGAGATGACAAAATGCTGATTAGCCGATAAACTCCTTCAACATCTTGGTGTGCTTTCACTGCTGTATTTATTTTCTATTTGGTGTCGATCCACTACACACAAGCACTTTCCAATTTTCTGTAATGAGTGCAAACCGTCATATTGATATCGTGATAGTAATTAGAAAAGAGCCACTCGGCTTCAAATTAGCAGGCCCATTGTCTCCGTTTGTAGCAGAAACCAAACATTCACCTCTGTAGAAGAATTTGACTTTTTCCTCACTCGCTGGCCTTTCAAACCAAATAGTGTACAGTACAATGTTGTTGAATCACACGCGGAGGAGGCTCAAATGAAATCCCACAGTGGTGTGGAGGTGTGCCTGGGGGGCGCTCGGTCTCGTCTAGTCAGTCCAAGTCAGATGGAAGCGACGGTTCTCTTCTTGCAATACACGATTCCACCACAGGGGGCGACAGCATTCAGTCATCCCAGTTTGAACAAAACCCAGTGAAACAAGGCAAGAACAATTTGAACTTCAATTCAATTTCTATTCCTTTCAATCAGAAAAAAAAAGACCAAATGTTTGTGAACCAACTCTGCACAAATGAAGTTTGGGCACCTACAATTTGTGAATATGAATAATATTGCTGTATATCTTAAAGGGGAAGTCAAGTCCAAAATGTTCTTGACAATAACCTGTTCCACGAGCCCCCACTGGTCTAAAAACGGCATTCTGATCAATATTGCGGTTGTGGAATGTGAAATGAGCAGTGAAATCCACCCGTTTTTTTTTCTTGATAAATCCCTCTCAGGGGGCGGCCATTTTGCCACCTGTAGTCCAGTGAAAATGACATCACAGTCGCTTAGTGCTCAGGTAGCGACCAATCACGGTTCGCCTGTTTTCTGAGTTTAGTTACGTGATGTCCTGAGCCGGATTTTGCTCCATGATTTAGATGCCACAAACACGATATTAATCAGAAAGCTGTGTTAAGACGAGTGGGGCGGCATTGTACCACAGCATTATTGGAGAAAACATTTTTGGCTTGACTTCCTCTTTAAAAATTCCAAACTCAACATCAGGAATTGGTCACCTCATTACGTCAAGGCGGTGAAGGAAGTTAACAGTGCTAATATCAGAAACAGAATTAAGGGTGCAAGTGTGTGGATGCGTGTGAGTGTTTGAGGCAATGGGAGGGGGGGGATATGCAGCCCCCTCCTGGTTGGCGCGGTCTCGCACGCAGCAGCATCACTCCGAGGCGCAGCAGCAGCAGCAGCAGCAGCAGCAGCAGGAGCAGGAGCACAGACGCTGTCTTTGGAATACCGGGAATGTTCCGTCATCACCTGTAGCTGCTGCACGGCGCTTCCCGACACACGCATGCGCGCACCGACGCTTCCCCTGCTCCCTGCACAGAAAGGATGGCACGCGCCGAGCGACAGCCGCCGCCGAATCACCAGCACCGAGCAGCGCTCCGTCCCCGTCCAGGCGGCACGGCCCGGATGAGCTGATCCCGCGGGAAGCAAGAGGTAGAGGGAGGGCCGGGATGAGGAGGGGGGCGCGGGGGGCGCGGAAGGAGATCCCACGGGAAGGAGAGACGTACGGACAGACCGACCCACTCTTGGGGAAGGAAGCAAAGCAACGCACGTGAGGCGCAAGGTGCCAATCGGGACTCATTTGGAGGATATTTTTTGATCCCTCTCGCAAACAGGTAAGACACCTTTACTCCCGCTAGCACCTGTCAGAAATCCGTAATTGATTCATTTACGGTCCACGTACGTCAAGCGAACGGGGACGGAAGGAGCCGGGGTGCGTGCTGGCGCTTTTCGACACGCAACGGACCTCGCGCATGTGAGAAACTGTTTGGGTTCAGTGCAGAGGCGGGAGATGGGTGGTTCACGAAGCGCCAGCACGCCCCCATTCTATTGAGTAATGCTGGGGGAGGAGGGTACGGGGGTCGGGTGCGGGAGGGGTGTGGGGGGTGGGGTCTGCAGAGTTTGCTCGGGTCTTTGTGGGTTTTGCGCCCGAGATGGCGGTGGAGCAGCCTGCCGCGCGCCACTGCAGTTGACACGGGCGCGAGTGTCAGCGCCTGTGCACCGGGGAGGCACGGAGATGATGGATGGCGCTGCAGAACGGCCGTCTTGGCTGCACGTGAAACCCTTAGTCAGCCCACATGCAGCCTGCCCCCCACCCCCAAAGGAAAAAAAAAAAATCACCTCCACCTGCTCATAACACGCATGCACGGGGTGTTAGCATGTGGACCACCTATAAATGTGTCATGAGAAAAGGATTGTAGGAAGTCAAACGTATGACGGTGAGACTCTTTGAAGCGGTCTTGTTGGCATTATACGACCACAATTTATACATTTGGCTGTTTTGCCGGTAAGGATCAAGGCTTTTGGAAAATCGGATAAGACGGCCAAGATGGCCGTTGTTTGATCGCCATTTTAAAATGGCCTCGTCAGCAAAATTTCGGCTAATTCTCCGCTCATCGCTAGCGGACGCAGATATGAAATATCGAGCGTCTCTGACGTTTCCGCTTGATGTACGTCGTCATGATCCGGACAAAGGTGGCGCCCTTTTTGATGTACGTCATCAAGAGTCGCCCTGATGGATGAAACTGACGGAATGGAATGAAAATTCTGTTTTGGGAGCGTGGCCCGCTGGGATCTGTACAAAAACCCGGTGGCGTGTTTTTGGCACGTGCACACGTGGATGAAAGAGTCACTGGTTCCTATTTAATATCGACTCCTTTTTTTTTTTAAGGTAGTTGGCTCGGCGCAGCTCAGCAGAAAGTTTCAAATCCTTTGTTTGCTTTTTTCAGTGTGCGCAATGGCGCCCATCTCTGACCCCTGTGGGTGAGGACTTGTTTTGAAGGTTCTCTCCTCCCTTCTTTCCTCTTTCGCTCACTTTCTTCCTCCTCCACTCTGCGTTTTTGCTCTTTCTCAGATAGACGAAGAGCAGAGCGGAGAGGATTGTTTTTTTTTTTTTTTCCAGCACAACACATTCTGTGTCCTCCTGCGGTTGTTCTTCCACAACTGACTCTCACGCAGCTTCCTTCATTTTCCATTTCGAGTTGACTTCATGTGACGGTTACCCGAACGCTAACCCCATTCCTTGTTCACGCTCACTTTTCCCCTTTGGCTTACCCTCATTTCTTCCACACATTTCCCTCACTTCTGCCGGCCACCTTCCAAACTCCTTCTTTCATTTCCTGCGTCCTCAGTTAACATTCTCCCGCCGTGGCAGAATCGTGGAAGGTGGCTGCGGCTGGTATCATCACGCTGATGCCAAACAGGTTCAGATGGAGGTTACGCCGGTTTAATCGCACCGCCGCCTCCTCACTCTAATTTTACTCCCCTTTCCGCGTCCGCTGTCGGGAAGCATTAGCTAATTCAATTTCGAAGCAGGAAATATGGCGGACATCAGGATGCCAGCAAGCGTCATTAGGCGCCGCGAAGGACCCTGGTCTACTTCCGTCCCAAACGCCACGACCCAAAGGTTCCGACAATTACTGAGTTGTCACTCCCCCCCCC